AAAACGCAGGCTGACATACACTATGGTAAGTGTGAGGTAATGGAAGTCTTTACATTCAGGGAACCTATGTAGTACATATTAAACCTTTGAGTGCCATTGTCTACATACACTATGGTAAGTGTGAGGTAATGGAACCTATGTAGTACATATTAAACCTTTGAGCGCCATTGTCTACATACACTATGGTAAGTGTGAGGTAATGGAAGTCTTTACATTCAGGGAACCTATGTAGTACATATTAAACCTTTGAGTGCCATTGTCTACACAGTGATTTTGTACAGACTACTCCCACAAAAAATGTTGGAAGAAATTGACAAACATTTTCATCAACCACTGAAAAAAAATTCTGAAACTGTGCAATCCAAAATGATGATAGAATTTAGTGGCAATTTTACAAAATGTAAAATTATGTGCACTGAATTTTGAATGGAAAAAATATCTGGCGCATGCCCAGCTTTCATCAATCAAAACAAAACGCGTCATTCTAAATCACGTCGTGTGTTTGAGGTCACGCCGTGGTAAAATTCATTGTAATTGCATCTACAAGGTGTATGATAAAACCTTTATGGACTGGATACAGCTTTTGCTGCCCTCGGTCGTACAGCTTACACACCCTCGAAAGCTCAGGCGCTCCCGTCGCACGACCTCAGGCTGCAAAAGCAGTATCCAGAATATTTTCATTGCTAGTGGAAAAGAATCTAATACTGTTAAATTAAAAAATAAAACCCCAATGAAATCTGCACTGCTGCAATATTTCAGTTTTTCCTGATGTCTTAAAATGAAAGTGGTTTATTATACAAGAGATTTAGACCTCACTTTATAATCAATTTCACATGCAATCCAGCACTGGTTCGTTTATTATATACAACAATCACAAATAAGCTTTTCTCTATGCTGTGAATACAACTTTCTTTCTTGTCTCAATTCCTTCAACAGCTGATAACCAGTATGCTGCCGCTCTCAGATTTTACCTAGAAGCCGGTGTCATTGTGAGTGATTGCTTCAGCCACTCGGTTCCTAGGACGTTATGGAACGACAAAGTATATAAACGAATGATTAAATGCTGCTCGTATCTGCAGTGTCACACGCAGGCTGCTATTCTATGTCAGTTTCTAGAGCATTCTGACTATACCACTGCCTTCAAAGAACTGCAGGAAAAAAGCTGGTGAGAGGTGTTGAATTGTTTGATTTTTTTTTTTTTACACATACTCATTACTGTATTAGTAAATGACAGAGTTGTGTTTATGGTCAAAATAAGCCATATTTTATTGATTTAGTCTAATGCTAAAAATGCAGTGCAATATATTAATGATTATTCAAAGATTATATGACTGCGTCAACAATCTATCCTCTATTATGAATGATGACATACACGTATGCCTGAACGTTCTTCAATCAATGACCTGTATTAATATAGGTCACAAGCAGTGACATCATAGTTAGAGTGGCAGCAGTGCATTACTAGTTGTATCTCTGGATAATCTTGAAATACTTGTACACTAACATGTATCATGTGTTGCTGCATTCGATTATTATGTCTACACCACTATGTATGTTTATGTGTTTGAATTATGCTCCAACTTGCTAAAAATTTAAAGGCTGGTGATCATCATGTAGTGCATGTTAGAATTTCATGTAAACAATCAGTGTATATTACACATGTTTTGTACGTCACTATGAGTCCCATATCAAACAGGAAGTAGCGCGATGA